TAGCCAGATGGGTACCACCTAGTGCCACCACTTCACTTTCTCTCCAGCGACTAGGTCAAAAATCAGAATACACTAGACGCTTCGCAAGAACCCCGGAAGTGTGAGTCTAGAGCACCAGCTGATCAACAAGACAACAGCCATATATTCTGTGTTGGCAACGATTCCCGAGATCAAGGATTTAAAGCGAAGTGAATTTAATCAAGGGGAAAGACGTTATTGCTCTTCTTCCAACGGGATTTGGGAAAATTTTAATATACCAGTTATCCACGTTAACACCGCATTACATATGTCATGACTAAATCACAGCAATTGGTTAAATTAAAAAAGTACTTGCCTACAGTCATGCAAATGAATCCTAATGCTGCGAGCTCGAGCAGACATCACTGGGACAGAGGACAACAAACATCATGGATTAAAGAGGCAATTGACCTACGGAAACGTACCCATGGGACTATAAACCGGGACGAGTTTTTTTTATTTACTCTCATACACCTGGGATTCTGTCCTGAGGAGGGGGGACTGCAGGTGGCGCTGTCGTCCTGCCTCCTCCAGTAAGAAGACAGCGCCAAAACCTGCTTAAATCATCTGAGCGACACGTCACAGCAACATCACGAGACTCTGAGGAAGAACAAACTGTCAGGTCTGGAAACAAACTCTTGGTCTGAAAAAAGAACCTACTAATATAAATTATCGGAAGACCAAATGAACCTCAATGGACCAGAAGTTCTTTTCATTAATTCAATGCTTTTTTTTCTTTCTGTTTAATTCTTTGTACATGTACTTCTTTAGTGGTTTACTCGATTAATCGGTCCATGGAGTATGTGTATTAGTCGATTAATCATGTTATTTCAGTGGTCAGGATTTCTATGGGAGAAGAGTGAGTGAGCTCTGAAAATTTGGTATTTTTTGATTAAACTCATGATTCACACAATGAATCTGTCTGTTTCTTCAAGTTTATGACACAAGATCAAATCAGTCAACTAAATAATACATTTTATATTTCATTTAAAGACTGTAGGGGTGAAGGGAGTGTGACATGACCCAAGGCATTCAGATCCAGCCAAATGAAGCTCATGAATAATGTGGATTGGCAGTTTTGCAACGTCGTCAGTCAAACAGGGACAGCCTGGGGGAAAGAAGTTTGGATTACTCTCAATGACACAGAGAGAGATTCTGTTTTAAAATCCATTACTGTAACTTTTTTGTTTTGCTTTTCTCTTCAAACTGACACTTGTAATACATATTTGGCATATTTACTATCACCAAGGCCAACCAGAAGGAATATGTCAGATGTTCTTGAGCTTACTGTAAGCCTTGTGATAGAAACTCCACAGAAGCTCAGCAGAGGAAATGAGCACTGTCGTCCACTTTCTCAGTATGAACATAAAAACCACTTGAGATTTCCTGTAAGACCAACCCGACATGCTGCATCACACATGTTTAAATCCTCAACAGCTCACACTCTACATATTTGCCTTTATCTTTTGACAATAGTTTAGTAACTACACTATTTAGATTTTGTATTATTATTTTTTTTATTTGCAGCACTTTGTTCATAAAATGTGCTTTAGAAATAAGGTAGATTGGACTGGCTTAGTTTAGTCTTTATTTAATTAAGCTTACGACCTGGTTTAGTCTCATTATAAGTTTAATTCTGGGTTAGTCCAGTTGGTCTAGTCTCCATACTGCTTCAGACGATTGGCAATTTTTCAAAACAAAGTTGTTAAGCTTTTTGTACTTTAAAGTACAACTTTGAAAATACCAGATTTTATGCATTATTGAATGTTCTGTCCAGTTACATTCAGTAATTATTAGATTATAAATCAGACATTATGTCCTGAAAGTTACTGTTTAAGTTACTTTTACTTGAGTAGTACTTTTTCGAAATATATATATATATATATATATATATATATATATATATATATATATATATATATATATATATATATATATATATATATATATATATATAGTCTTAATTAAGTAATTTTTTTGACATTGTACTTATGCTTGAATAACTTTATTTTGAAGTAACATTACTCTTACGTGAGTATACTTTTTGGGCACTCTGTCACCTAAGATTCAAAGTAAGTTGAATAGGCTGAGCTTCTATTTTTACAGTGAGCCACTCTGATAAAGAGCTTCTTCAGAAACCCACTGATAACAGTAACAACAGGAGTTTATTGTACTTGTCATTGTGTTCTGTGTAAAACTACGTCACTCTCCTTGGTAAAACTCTTTCAGAGGCTTCACAGAAATCCACTGCTGAAAGGAAGCATTAAGAGTCCATGAGAATTTTTTTTTTTTTTTTCAAACGTCTAAGTGTGTAGCACAGGGAGCTACTGTAAGAGAGGCCACACTACACTCACGTCACAGTATACGAGCAGCTTCACTCTCACCAGTCACTTCTATTTCTGCTCTTTATTTCAAATGTATTATCACCATTTCTATTATTTCTCATTGTTATTATATTATATTTTTATGTGTGAGTTGCTGTGTCCGAGTCATTTCTCTTGAAGACTGTAGTGATCTCCTGACACCTGCTCCTCTAAAGTTTGTTGGAGGAGCCATGAGCAGGTTCTTCTCTGAGGACCTGCACTGCAAAAAAGCTCAGCCAAAATGTAAGATCTAAACGCTTAAATCTATCAGAAAATGACTTAAAAGTAGTGAAATGATCTGTCCATGCAGCACAATCTTTTTATTTGATAAGTTCTCTTAAAGTAAATGACCTCTGGACTAGAATGAAGCAGCTCAGATTTAGTAAGTAGATAATAAATCTGAAAACAAGATGAAGAACCTGACAGAAGTTTTAAAATCTTAGTCGGATCAGAGAAGTTTGCAGTGTGAGTCTCTGGAGCTGTGAGGTGTGATCAGGTCAGACACACTGGAGTATGGAGGGTCAGAGGTCAAAAACAAGGATTCATAACGGACCTAATAAAAAACAGTTGTAATGTGGGTCAAAAGCCTCATCTGAAATGTTCCACAGTATATTTTATTTGATATTAAACAGAATGCAGTAAAAGTATCATAATAGTCTGTAGAATAAGGATGAAAAATATGTCAAGTTTTCTCAGTTTGTACTGTGCTAATGCTTTGATTTTATGTACAGGAACAAATACAAATATTTGGGACATTTTATTACAGATGAAATGTCAGATGATGAGGACATTACACATAGTGTCTTATGATGTGTGCACAGGTCACACACTCACACACACTCACACACACGCATCTGTACAGTGGACGTGAAAAAGACACTTTTTAAAGTGTACTGTGGTGCATTATTTATAGCACACTTGTGGTCAAAGTACAAAAGGGCGAGCACACAAACTCACTGTGACGTGGACTGACTGCTCAGGGATTCCACTGAAAAGGCCCAGATTGAAATATGCAAGTCACCTGTTTGTGTGAGGTACCAGTCTGATCTGCGGAGACACGAGGTACCAGTCTGATCTGCGGAGACACGAGGTACCAGTCTGATCTGCGGAGACACGAGGTACAAGTCTGATCTGCGGAGACACGAGGTACCAGTCTGATCTGCGGAGACACGAGGTACCAGTCTGATCTGCGGAGACACGAGGTACCAGTCTGATCTGATCTGCGGAGACACGAGGTACCAGTCTGATCTGATCTGCGGAGACACGAGGTACCAGTCTGATCTGCGGAGACACTGGTTCAGCAGTTTGCTGTGAATATTGTGTTTTTGAGTGTGTTTATTTATTTATTTATTTATTCATTTTTTTACTCCTCTCTGGACGAAAAAAAAATAAATTTGATGATGATGATGATGATGATGATATGACATTACTGACACAACTCTGGCAAAGAGGCCGTATTTTCTGTAATATATGACATTACACATACATTTTTATTTAACAATTCACTCGTGTAAGTTATGGTGTGTTTAGATTGCACTAACCTATGTTTATGTTAACCATATTACATTTGTGGAAATAAAATAATAATAATAATAATAATAATAATAATAATAATAATAATAATAATAATAATAATAATAAATCAAGTGTGTGTGTTTGTGTGTGTGTGTGTGTGTGTGTGTGTGTGTGTGTGTGTGTGTGTGTGTGTGTGTGTGTGTGTGTGTGTGTGTGTGTGTGTGTGAGCAGAGTGAGGGCGGATATGTGGCTCCCTCTGGTGATAGACAGAGGCATGTGCAGTGTTTTACCGTGTGAAAACATGAGGAAAAGCCCGAGTGTGGAGCGCCATCCTGTGGTTCAAAGTGACTCTTACAGTGTAACGTGGGCTCTGAGGAGGTGGTTTTATGAGACTTTAAACTACAAATTAAAGTTCTTTAAAAGTTCCCATATGACCACATTTTCTCATGTTCTAATGTTGTCTCCTCATCACACACAGACCTGAAGTTGTGTTTTGTTTCACACATGTTTAACACACAAACCTGCACATTTAGGCTGAGTTCTTCTCTCCAACAGAAAACTATGGACTAAGAAAGCTTTCAAAAATATTTGTGCACATAGAATAGAAATCTGTGCGCATTTGGGAAATCCGTGCATATTTGGCTGTAGTTGAGCATAAAATAAATATTTATAAACTAAATTTGAATGAACCCACTTGTTGGTCGCTGTTGTAGCTCCTTGTGCTATTACTCTGTTTTTACCCTCTGCTACAAACTTAAACATGCACAGTCTTGATCTTGATCGATGTTTCTTCTGCTCGATGGATAATGTCTGTGAAGTGATGACGTATTTTTGACAGTAAAATTCCGTCTGTGAATTCGTATTCGTACTGATGAAAGCGTAATCATAAATTTTCATTTCGTAATTGTAATTCTTGACGTCGTAACTTTTCAGTTTGTATTCTGATGGATAAAATACACACAATCTAGTTTATGTACGACTGGACTCATTTGAGAGTTTATAAATATTTATTTTATGCTCAACTACAGCCAAATATGCACGGATTTCCCAAATACGCACAGATTTCTATTCTATGCACACAAATATTTTTGAAAGCTTTCTTAGTCCATAGAAAACACTCTGTCCCACCTTGTGATGTCATGTGGTAATACAAGAAGTGCTCCACTGTGTTTTTAAACTCCATGAACTAAAGGTAATGTACTAAAGGAGCTGTTTTTTTTACTTGAAAATTACAGTGTCATGACATCACGAGGTGGAAGAGAGCATTTTGAGTGGTTGTGTGTGTGTGTGTATGTGTGTTTTATTCCAAGACCAGACCCACAAGGGAACAAAACTATCTTTTTTTTTTTTTTTTTATTTCTCGATTGTACAACAAATCGATATCAAGACTTGTATCATATGAGCCACTAAATGTTTTCAAACCTGATACAAACCAAGTCTGCATGAGGACTAAACTAGCTTTAATTAACTGGAAAACTATTTTAACTTAACCCTTCCAGACCTAAGGGCAATTTTAGTACATTTTCCTCACTTGGATTTTTTTTTTCTTAATTTTGCTATTAAAACTCCCCCTTTTACCCCCTAATGAAGTGTTATACATCAGTTTGTTCAGTACAACCTGTTATTTCACAATCTGCTGCTGCAGTTTGGTGGAAAACAAAGTTTCTATAAGACACTTTCTACGTCATAACACAGCCTCACAGACGATAATGCCGGAAATCTGCTCGGAAAGCCGCACCTCTTAGCTCTTCAAGGAAAAAAATGTTTTGTAAGTTTCTATCAACACCGTCGGTCTGGAAGGGTTAATTCCTTAACATCTACAGTCACAGACCAGAACATGGACTGTTCATCTGTAGTGTTTATGGGTCACATTTTCTGTGCACAGTTCAGTTTGTGACAAGCTCCTCTGGGTTTGAGTTCTGTGCTGTAGCTCTCCACTTCACTGTGATGTTTGTCACTCCCACTGCTTCAAGTCTGTCCTGGATCTAAACTCAAAACATGACAAAGAGTAAAGGCTGATGGAGATGGAGCTGCTCTGTGACATGTGCTCCGCTCACCTGCTCTAAAATCTGCTGCTGCATTTCCATGTTGTTCAGGTCCACTGCAGACTGAAGCTTCACTTTCAGGACAGTCTGCCTCAGATCTGTGGATAAAACAAAAAGAAATAATTTAAAAAATAATAATAATAATAATAATAATAATAATAATAATAATAATAATAATAATAATAATAATAATAATATGTGGAATGAGGGAGTGTGACATCACCCACGGTGTTCAGCTCCAAAATGAAGCTCACTGAGCAGTTATAGCAGCTAATCTGAAGCCAGTTCCATATTTATAATTCTGACTGTGAGTATCAAAGCAACCAAAGATTCAAGTAAGACTCTTTGGCAGAACTGTCAATCAAACCAGTTTCTAAAGCTAGGGGAGCGACCTCAGAGAAAGAAGGCACCTGATTTAACTCTTACTAATGTTCAGATCTTGATTTAGGGACAAAATAGTGAAATACAAACCCTAGGATCATGTAGGGCAGGTTCAAACCAACATGTTAAGACCGAGTGAGGAGCCTGACAGCAGCAGTTATAGAGAGAAGAGGCCACAATTCTTTAATAGAAAGTGAATTGGAGACGAACTGGAGGCGAACTGGAGTGGATGGAGCCGAAAGCTCGTCCATGCTCACTTCCTACTTAGAGCTAGTGGGTGGCTATGTCCATTATACAGACTATGGAAAAAACATGATAAGCTATTGGGTCACTACTGGTAAATATTTATCACTCTAGATCAGGGGTGTCCAAACTTTTTTCATCAAAGGCCACATATCTAAAGACAGAAGAAGCAGAGGTCTGATCGAGGGCCATAGACTGATGTTCAGTACAGTGAATAATTGAAATATGTGCATGTTTAACATGTTAGAATGAGCCATCAGTCTTTATTCATGCTAAGATCCTTAAAACCCCACACTAAATATGAAATATTAGCTTTATCAAGGTAGATTTAAAAAAAAAAAAACTTACAGTAAAAAGTTCATTTCACCTGGAAGCCTGAGGGCCAAAAAAATTTGTCTCAGGGCTGCATTTGGCCCACGGGCCATAGTTTGGACATACCCACTCTAAAGTATCAGGAAACTTTAGTATTTGGAGTTCAAATCTCCATTAGTTTAACAAAAATAGAAAAGAAAAGACATGACAATACAATCACGAGCTCTAGAGGAAACAGAAATGTTTAGTATTCACATTTGTGTCTGAAGTGTGTATGACAGGTTTTGATGATTTTCTCATTTTGACTTTATCTGTAACTTTATTTATAATGTCTGTTATAAATATAAAATATATTTTTACACAAATCTCAGGGCCTCTGGTTAATAGAAATATGGAGAGCACTTACAGCATACTGCAGTGACCATGTACAAACTTTGGTGTGATTTTTTATGTTTTGTTCAATTCCTGCCCCCGCGCCCTGGCCCCAGATGAAGTGGAAGAAAATGGATGGATGTTCAAATGTGATAAACAAACTGAAGCAGTTATGAAGGTTTCAAACTGACACCCTGATCTCAAAACAAAGCTTCCCTTCCACAAAGCCTGCTCCAGATTCACACTTTTATCACAGAGGTGGACTACTGCTACTGTCTGTATGTAGATCTACACCAGAGCAGTGTGTATGTAGATCTACACCAGAGCAGTGTGTATGTAGATCTACACCAGAGCAGTGTGTATGTAGATCTACACCAGAGCAGTGTGTATGTAGATCTACACCAGAGCAGTGTGTATGTAGATCTACACCAGAGCAGTGTGTATGTAGATCTACACCAGAGCAGTGTGTATGTAGATCTACACCAGAGCAGTGTGTATGTAGATCTACACCAGAGCAGTGTGTATGTAGATCTACACCAGAGCAGTGTGTATGTAGATCTACACCAGAGCAGTGTGTATGTAGATCTACACCAGAGCAGTGTGTATGTAGATCTACACCAGAGCAGTGTGTATGTAGATCTACACCAGAGCAGTGTGTATGTAGATCTACACCAGAGCAGTGTGTATGTAGATCTACAGCAGAGCAGTGTGTATGTAGATCTACACCAGAGCAGTCTTCATCACTTACAGGGTTCCAAAATGCTGCAGCTCTCCTACTGCAAGGCACAAGAAACCGGGAGTACACAACTCCAATTTTCAATTGTACTTCCAACCAGGAAGTATCAGAAACCTGAACTTTTGTTTATTTATTTTATCTAAAATCTGAAGTTTTAGTTCAACCTGTCACAGGCACTCCTGCAGAGCTCAGGCCTGTGGTTGTGATAGAACTTTCTGTTGGGGCCTAATGTTAAACAGAAGAGGGTTGGTGTGCTCCAGAGGAACACTGTGCTGTGATGGACAAACCGGGGTCAAAGTTCAGACCAGGGTTAAGTTAAGGTTAGAAACATTTTAAGTTATATTTCATGTGCTTTCAGAAAACAGCTTAAACATCACTACTGCTCCACCAGAGCTGAGGCTTTGGGACGCGCCACCCAGTGCTCAGTGACTCTACCTTGATAGCAAAAAAACTGGTTGCCAGTATCACAGCTGATGTCTTGCCACAGGCCTGTGTCAGCCTTCAGACAACCACAGGAGTCATCTGTGGGATGAATAGTAGGATCTGTTTCCCACTTGTTAAAGCTGGTGCTGGTGCTGTCAGACCAGCTGCTCCAGGGATCCCTGTACAGCCCAATCCAAGCCTCCCTTTGACCTGTCAGCATCAGCTGGGACACGAGGAGCAAAAGTGTTTCCTTGGTCACAGTGGCGAGGTCATCGTGCGTCGTCCTGCAGTAGATCTGAGCATCGTCCCATGTTTCGAGCTCCTCAACTATAATGTATTTCAGAACAGCTTTGTCTTGTGAGAGAAGGAAGAAGAAAAAGAAATAACATTAGGCAGTTCAAACAATACATGCAGTATGTCAAATTTCCAGACAAATTTTAAATGTCATACCATCAAAACATATGAAAGGCAAGGCTGTGGTGCATTCTTTATCATTAAATCCTTTTAACGACGTGACAGAAATCCCAGCACAGTGCTCGCCTCCACCATCATTGTCAGGTTGACCATCAGCCCAGATGTCATCATTCTGATCATAAGAGCGACTGGGGACTCCCTTGCTCCACTTCCAGTTATGTAAGGTATGACGGAGGCCGATCCAAACGCACTCATTCAGGTCCTCTGCCAGTTCCATCAGCTTCTGATTCTCCTGCTCATCTTGGACAGTCACCAGGTCAGTGAAGCTCTCTCTGCAGTAGGTCTGAGCTGAGGTCCAGTTCAGATATTTGTTTACAAAAACAAACTTTCGTTCAGGGTGGACAAAACAAATGAGGACGCCTGAGAGAAAAATCAAGACAACCAATCAAAAAAGACAATCGATCCCAGTATGGTTCACTCTTTTGGAAAACAAAACCAAAAATAGAAAAAAAAAAAAACAAAACTAAATGTTATACTATTTATTCTGTTTTAAACATAATTCCAGAAAAACAATATAGTGTTTTCTTTATTTCATATTTCGATTTGTGCATAATATTATTCGATTGAGGTTTCTGAGGGCACAGCACAGCTCGCTACATCCATACTCCCGTCTTCTAGCACCTTTCGGACATTATAAGAACACTATTGTGTGTGTGTCAGAGTAAAAGTGTGACTGGGTGGTGTTAGTGTGCGCTGACATGGATATGCCTCTTACACTGTTGCACAGGGCACCTCCAGGGGGCGCTCATCAACAGCAGCAGACCAGCTCTGGACCATAGGGGCCCATGTGGCAGTGCTGGCTGTGTGTGGTGTCAGGTAAAGAGCACTACACTTATGCAATGACATTATCAACTCACACAAGATTTGCCACCTTTGAAAGACATTTGCCCTGCTGCATTTCACTTGGAAGTGATCAGGACTGAGACTGGGACCAGATTGGGACCAGACCGGAAAAAGACCGGGTCTGAAACTGGGACCAGACCAGGACCAGACCAGGACTGAGTTCAGTCCTGGTTCAATCCTGGTTTAGTTCTGGTTCAGTCCTGGTTCAGTCCTGGTTTAGTTCTGGTTTAGTCCTGGTTCAGTCCTGGTTTAGTTCTGGTTTAGTCCTGGTTTAGTTCTGGTTCAGTCCTGGTTTAGTCCTGGTTTAGTTCTGGTTTAGTCCAGGTTCAGTCCTGGTTCAGTCCTGGTTTAGTCCAGGTTCAGTCCTGGTTCAGTCCTGGTTTAGTCCTGGTTCAGTCCTGGTTTAGTTCTGGTTTAGTCCTGGTTTAGTTCTGGTTTAGTCCTGGTTTAGTTTTGGTTTGGTCCTGGTTTAGTTCTGGTTTAGTCCTGGTTTAGTTCTGGTTCAGTCTTGGTTTAGTCCTGGTTTAGTTCTGGTTCAGTCTGTATGCGGTGCAAGACACAGTTTGTGTCACGTAAACGGGAAACGGTCGTTATCTATTTTTTCCACTATTCATTTAAACACAAAATCAAAAAAATGAAAAAAAAAAAAACAAAACAGATTGTTATCTGTTTTTTTTTTTTGGTTTTGGAGACAAATAATGAAGAAAACAGTTGTTTTTTCATTTTCTTATTTTTGGTTTTATTTTGAAAAAACGAATGAATGAATGATACACGGATCAGGGTGGCGTGCACTGAGAGACATTCAGCTCTTCCAATCACAGACTCCCCCAAAGGGTGTGTTTATCCAAAGTGCGACAGAGGCTCATTTACAAAGGACACTGTGTCATTATCAAACATACAATGCAAATGCATGTCCTGTGTGCACTGCTTTCAGTGTATGGGTGGAGGTCTGTTTGAATGGCATTGGATTCAGGAGCTTTATTTGATGCTTCACTCTGTCACTTTCACCAAAGTCCTGGTCCTGTTTTGCAACTTTTGGAGTAGGACTGAGTTTTTCCATGACTCTTTTCTTCAGGTGTGAGAGGGGAGTTTTCAAAGCTGAACAGTTGCTTTGGTGAGGAGGTGGATGTGGGTTCTGACACAGCCTGCAGGCAGGATGGAGATCAGGGCTTTGTTCACTGTGGATTCTTTAGACAATGTCCAGAGTGTTGCACCAAAGAGGATGAATGGCTGGTGAGGGTTCAAGTCGGGACGAAAGGATTGATACAATTGAATGGCCCTCATGATCACCTGACTTGAACCTGATAGAACACCTCTGGGACATTATGTTTGGGTCCATCAGACGTGGTCAGGTTACTCCTCACACTCTACAGGAGCTCACTGATGCCCTCACACTGATCTGGGAGAACATCCCAGATCCCATCCATCGTCTCATTAGGAGTGAGCCAAGACATTGTCAAACATGCACACAAGCACGTGTATAGAAGCATTTTGAGTTGGAGAAATTAAATGTTGGCAAAATGAACTACTCTGCCACATCATTATTTCACTTTGATTTCCAGGGTGTATATAAGATGAAGCCCTCTGTAAGCTGAACATTTTATGTCCATTAAAAGAGGAGCATCCTTTTGATCTCCAGACATGTTTTCTTTTTTTTTTTTTCACATTGAGATTAGATGTGATTTCAAAGTGTTCTTTAATTCTTTTGGAGCAGTGTATTTATACTCAGTGATAAGGGGAATCTACACCATCAACAACTATTATTTCATTTGACTGCACTGTTCAAAAATATATCATATTTCTTCCCCTTTAGTTGTTTGAGATACACCAGAAACAGTACTTTACTATTTTTACTTTATTACAATGCAGTGTCTCATGATGCCTGTCGCACACCTGACCTGTCAGGGCTCAGCCCACAGCTATGTCCAGTCTCGCCACTGCGTGCATTTTACAACTACAATGAATGAATGAATGAATGAATGAATGAATGAATGAATGTCATTATTGTGTCTTCCATACAGATGAGCCCAGCCTGGTCATGGTCGTATTAGACACCACAAACAAATACTGTACATTAAAATATTTTTATATTAAATTGTTATGGAAAACTTTATGGATAAAAACAATGTGTTGTGGGTGAGAATTCTGTGAAGCTGTCACTGAAGAAAAGAAGAGGATTTGTATTAAGCTTATTTGTTATACAATAGTTTATACAATCCTCCAGCTAAGGTAGTCCCAACCAAGCCTAGAAAACTAAGCAAAAACTTGTCAATGTTAATAAAATAAATAAAATAAATATCCACACAGTCACACTGTCTGTAAGAGAGACAGCAGCACCCCGTATAGTCCAAGTGAGAACAACCACAAGCCCTTTAAACCACCAGCCCTAGAACCACCAGCCCTAGAACCACCAGCCCTGGAACCACCAGCCCTGGAACCACCAGCCCTAGAACCACCAGCCCTGGAACCACCAGCCCTTTAAACACCAGCCCTGGAACCTCCAGCCCTGGAACCACCAGCCCTGGAACCACCAGTCTCCAAAGCGACTCAACTAAATTTCAGCTAAAGTTCCTATAGTATATTAGATTCTTCCAATAAACAATAAAAGTGTGTGAGTTTTAAATTAAATACATAAATCCAACCATAAATTGAATTTATAATTATAATCTATTAGAATTATAATCTAAATGTTACTCACTTAAGATGAACAAACTTCCTGTGTCCATACTTCAACGTGTCCAGTCCAAACTAGAAAATGATCAAAATGACACACTTTTGAACTAAACCAGTCAAAATAATAAATCTAACTAATCGTAGCGCCGTGGAGCGAGGGCTCGTCTGAGTGAGGATCCCGGTGAGGCGCGAACACAAATATACAGCCTGCTCTGATATAAATCTAACTCACTGTGTAACATCATATTCTGGCCCTGCCCATCAAAACAAACAGGCCACAAACCTTTTCAGCATCACATGCAAATGAGACTGGACCTTTACACTTTGGCTGTTCAGAAAGTGAAAAATGTCAAATTAAATATTGTATCTTTGTAGTTGCAGTGGTCTGCTTTGTAAACATACATTTGATTAAACTTTAATACACAATTCAGTTTGAACTCTACCTAACTAGAACTGTAAGGTTATTTTGTGCTTTGACAGTTTGGAAGGTTCTGCACCCGAACTGCATTTACAAACATGGGAACCACTGACTTTAATACTCAGTCTCAATCTGCTGAATCGCTACAACTCAGGAGTTTCCTGTAATGACGTCAGCTTATTTTAAAATCCAACTGGCCCAGTCCAACCAATCCAATCCAAACTCCACCAACCCGACCCAAACTCCACCAACCCGACCCAAACTCCACCAACCCGACCCAAACTCCACCAACCCGACCCAAACTCCACCAACCCGACCCAAACTCCACCAACCCGACCCAAACTCCACCAACCTCACCCAAACTCCACCAACCCAACTCCACCAACCACCAACCACCCAAACTCCACCAAACCTCACCCAAACTCAACCAACCCGACCCAAACTCCACCAACCCAAACTCAACCAACCCGACCCAAACTCCACCAACCCGACCCAAACTCCACCAACCTCACCCAAACTCCACCAACCCAAACTCAACCAACCCGACCCAAACTCCACCAACCCCACCCAAACTCCACCCACCTGACCCAAACTCCACCAACCCAAACTCAACCAACCCAACCTAAACTTGACCAACCCGACCCAAACTCCACCCACCTGACCCAAACTTGACCAACCCGAACCAAACTCAACCAACCTGATCCAAACTTGACCAACCCGAACCAACCTGACCCAAACTTGACCAACCCAACCCAAACTCAACCAACCCAACCCAAACTCCACCAACACCCAAACTCCACCAACCCAAACTCAACCAACCTAAACTCGACCAACCCGACCCAAACTCGACCAACTCACAGGACACACTCAGGACACACTCACAGGAGACAGTCACAGGACACACTCACAGGACACACTCACAGGAGACAGTCACAGGACACACTCACAGGAGACAGTCACAGGACACACTCACAGGACACACTCACAGGACACACTCACAGGACACACTCACAGGAGACAGTCACAGGACACACTCACAGGACACACTCACAGGAGACAGTCACAGGACACACTCACAGGACACACTCACAGGACACACTCACAGGACACACTCACAGGACACACTCACAGGAGACAGTCACAGGACACACTCACAGGACACACTCACAGGAGACAGTCACAGGACACACTCACAGGACACACTCACAGGAGACAGTCACAGGACACACTCACAGGACACACTCACAGGAGACAGTCACAGGACACACTCACAGGACACACTCACAGGACACACTCACAGGACACACTCACAGGAGACAGTCACAGGACACACTCACAGGAGGCAGTGCAGACACAAGATTTAGGAGAGTTTGAATCTAAACCTCCTGGATCGAGCAGGACGAGGTCTGGTCGTGCTGTCAAGGTGAGGAGCTTCGTATTTGCACCTGCACCTGTGTGACCCATAAACCTGTAGATTCATACACCCAAGAGGCCTGTGCTAGGTTCACACTGGAGCCTTGTGTGTGTGTGTGTGTGTGTGTGTGTGTGTGTGTGTGTGTGTGTGTGTGCGTGCGTGCGTGCGTGTGTGTGTGTGCAGCTCTTTTTGAACATGCTGTAGATGAGCTTTATTGTTCTATTGTTCTGTTCACATTAAGTTAAAGCAGAGGGGGTTCTGACCCGTCCACTCACCCGTAGGTCCAGTGGGTCAGCAGCCAAACAGCAGTTCCGCCCATTTAATCACTTTCTTTTGACCACAATAAAAATGGTCTTGTAGTTCTAGACCCATGCAAACAGATAGGCAAAGTGACATGTAATACTTCCATGCAAACCCACTGTACTGTCCGCCTCCGAGCAATGGATCAAAACAGTCAAATGACCATTCACTCATGAGGCACGGACACATCTGCTGTTTGCCCCAAAGTCTCAAACAAAACAGAACTTAAACTCTGCTGCTCATTTGTCTGAAAGATGCAGACCTACAGCCGGAATAAAAGACCTACATACATAAAAGAGGTCAGGGGTAATATTGAAACTTATTAAAGATATTGAAACTAATGCCACTAAGTCAAAAACACAAGAGCAGATATAAACCACAAAAACTATTTTATATCATGAGCTGTAAAAAATAAACAGCAGAATGAAACACTTCAATACTGAGTTTGTGTTTGTAATGAGTCACAGAAGTGATTATTTCAACTTTTTACAGCTCAAATCAGATCATATATATCAAAGAAGTAACCAAAACTGTCCCACGACTGCAAATAAAATGTACCCACGATAAATTGTACCCCCCAAAATAATAGTTCGTATATTGAAAGATAAGTGGATGTATCATTAAATTATACATAAAATCAAGGATCATATGCATGTGACCAAAGACCCTCCTTTTTCCCTTAAACTTTTATTTCTTTTACTATAAAAAAATAAATAAATAAAAAATCTTTAAGGCTATTTTCTGATCTGTTCTAGTGCAGTTTCCTCATCACAAACTGATCTGGAGTTGTGTTTTGTTTCATTCACACATGTTTAACATACAAACCATGCAAATTTAAGAGAGTTTTTTTTTTTTTTTCTCACATAGAAAACCTCCACCTTTCACCTTGTGATGTCATTATGTAGTAATACATGACTTGCTCCACTATGCTTTTAAAGTCCCTAAACCTTCACAAGAATCATATGGATAATTTCAGCTCTAGTACTAGGCCTGGTTATCATTAAGAAGTTGCCGATACGATACATACCTCGATACACAGGCCACGATACGATACATATCTCGATACAGTGCACTTTATTCGATATATATTTCAAATCGATTCGATACAGTTCAATAAAAAATAAAGTCTAAATCATGGCTGTGATACTAAAATTCTTTGTTAAACCACTTCTTGTGCAAAGTTCATATGAAACACAAACATTTTAATCCTCAAAATAGAGTCAAAATGTCAAATGTGTCACATAAATGAGTTTCCTTTCACAAGCAACAAAACTGTAGCACTGTAACAAAATAATTTGGTAAAACACAGGTAAAAATACTCTTGGTGTTATATCGATACAGTAGCCCACGATATTGATACTGTATAATCACATTAAACGATACGATATATCGATATTCCGATATTTTTGCACACCCCTATCTAGAACTGCCAGTCTCTATCAACTAAGGTTTAGTGGAAGTTTTCAATGTAACTTGAAAACTTCCACTAAATGACATCATACTTTGGAACAGAGCATCCTGAGCTTTGGAGAAGTAAACACACAGAGACACACTAATAATAAAGGGTTACTCAAACATGAGGGAATGAAACAAAACATAACAAAACACAACTCCAGGTCTGTTTGTCCTTCTGTCTGGCTCTCGATGAAGGTGGTCGCATTTGTCTCTCCTCTCCTGCCCTTATCTTCTCTGCTTCTCTCGTCTCGTCTAGTGTCTCATACTTTTGAGAGACTCTCTCCGCTCTGCTCTTCCAAACCTAAATTAATCATGAATTTAATCAGTTGGTCTCTCAACACAACTGACACCATCTTCTCAAAAAAGAACTTGGGTTTGGGGGAACCTGCGTGCCCCACCGGGACGTTTGCTGTGAGCTACACGATGGACGGTTGGGAGAAGTGGCACATCTGTGGAGGACATAGAGACATTTATCTATTCAGAACCATGATTACAGGACTTTTGCTGATTGGATTAGGCATGGCCCACATTTTTTGGAAAACTCAGAACACCGAGGCAGCTGTTCAAAGCCCCTCTAGGCTGCCCGACTGGATTGAAACGGGCAGAGGTGTGAGCACTCAGACTGTGACTATAAACCACATTTATGAACTGTGAGAAAACCATGAAGACACTCACAGCCCTGCAAAGACAAACACACAGACACAGAGGTCAATATGGACAAAGAGAGAAGTCGTGGAAACTGAAATGCAGCTACTCGCCCCAAAACCCAAACATACTGATCTTATCTACTTTTAGCCTCCCTCATCCAGCACTGGCCTCGGACAAGGGACAAGGCCTCTGCTGGAACAACAAGTTTCCTCGAAGGACATGGCAGGGAGACTCTCCATCCCGAGCACAAGGACGGGGCTCAAACCTCACTCAGGAGGAGACAGACTGATGGGCTGAAGTGATTTTCCAACAGAGCCATATATTTAGTCTGATCTGACCGAACAAAATGCAAAGTGGTCACATGTCACCAACATTTTCACATTTACTTTACTTGACAAGTTGACGCAAACTGATGCAAACAATTCATATGCAAAGCATGAAAAATCACCATCACCATCCGTAAGCAAAAGAGTTTGATTGAGCAGATTTTTCCTTCAGGGATAGAATTACATGATGAGGCTTTCACACCATCTTTTATTCCTTTCATTTTACTAGAGTAAGACCAGTGTTGGGGAGTAACAGATTACATGTACTGGAGTTACAAAATCAGAATACAAATTATGAGTAACTGTATTCAGTTACAGTTACTGTTTTAATGAGTGATAATTGGATTACAGTTACTTTGTTGAAATAAGTGGATTACACACCTGCTCTGCTTCTGAGCTCATTCTTGTGCTGGTTCAGGCTTAGTCAGAGTAAAAATACAAACAAATGAGAACAGAAAGAAAAATACAGTTTATGCTCTGAGGCCCTGCGGCTCTGGGGCCAGCTGAGCTTTGATCAGGTCTGATACACAGGAGTATGTAGGGTCAAAGGAGCTAGTGAAGCCTTTTCGGAGCAGCAGTGATACGGCTCCTCCTGTTTGTGTCCAGAGCCTCACCTGAAGTGTCCAGAATGACATTAAAGAGGAGGTATTCTGCAAAACCTACTTTTTTGATCTTTC